AAATGTTTAGTCAAAATATATTTGCTTATCCCCTCCAAAAAATTGATGACGTCAGCTCGAAAGTTTGCCGAATAAATCCTATCTAAACTGTAAAAATATGATGAGTCTGTACTTGTAATTTATCACTCCATTCATATTTTTTGGATTTGCATATACAGGGTGACTCAAAAAAATTAATGAATGCGTAAATATATTTTATTGATTTAATCAGGAACTACAAAACCGAATGCTCTGAAATCTTGCAGATGTTTTAAGGTCATAAAGAGCATAATAAATGTCTAGTCAAAATATATTTGCTTATCTCCTCCAAAAACTTGATGACGTCAGCTCGAAAGTTTGCCGAATAAATCATATCTAAAATGTACAAAATATGATGAGTCTGTACTTGTCATTTATCACTCCATTTATATTTTTTGGATTTGCATATACAGAGTGACTCAAAAAAATTAATGAATGCGTAAATATATTTTATTGATTTAATCAGGAACTACAAAACCGAATTCTTTGAAATCCACTGCAAAAAAAAAACATAATAGGCATGCAGTCGTCACGTTTCCGACAGCGAGGGAAGTACTGTCTAAACTCTTTAGACCAATTTTTTCAATTTAAGATTTTTCAGTTTCATAATTTTTCAACTTTTCATTTCTTCAATTTTTGATTTAAAGTATTTCTAGTTTTCACTGTAAATACATATGTAATAATAATAATAATTTTTAAAATATTTCACTTTTTCATTTATTCGACTTTTTCAATTCTTTTAATGTTCCTATTTTTTGTTTTTCAGTTTCAATTTTTCAATTTTTCATATTTTTTGTTCCTCCCGTTTTACGACATGGAAAATTTAAAATGGAAAACTTGAAGAGTTGCGTTTGAGTTTTCCATTTTAAATTTTCCATTTTTTCCATTTTCCAATTTTGGAAGTTTTATTTATACATTTTGCGATTTTTTTCGATTTGCAATTTCAGTCGGTTCCAATTTTTAATTTCTCAGTTTTCAATTTTTTCTTTTCAGTTTTTCGTTTTCTCAATGCTCGGATTTTATTTTTTATTTTTTTGAATTTCAATTTTTACTTCCCGAGCGTAAGCAAAGGAAGTATTGTAATCGAGTCCGTCGGCCGACTCTCTACTTTTACGTTTTCTCGATCTTTCATGACTCCTAGAAGACGAAGAAATAGGTCTCCCATTTCCGTCTGTCTGTCTGTCCGTCCGTCTGTCCGTCCGTCTGTCCGTCCGTCTGTCCGTCCGTCTGTCCGTCCGTCTGTCCGTCTGTTGTCCCGGATTTTATTAGACAGATAATCTCCGAAAGTACTCGACCGATTGTTGTGAAATTTTGTACTTATATTAAGAATATCATGTAGATGGTAAAACGCTAACCAAAATTTGTCTAATCATCCCCACCACTAACGCGATGACGTCACTTCAAAATTGTACATAGTAAATGGGTTTTCAATTGTATAAAATAACATAGTCCTACACATGTAGTTTACAACTCTGAATCGACTTTTCACCCGAAACGTCCAGATTTTTGGAAAAAAAATCAAAATTATAAAACAACATTTTGAAATTTAATTTTTAATCTGCTAACCAGAATGCTTTGAAATGTTGCAGATGTTTTAAGGCTATAAAGAGCATCCTAAATCTTTAGTCAAAAAATATTTGCTTATCCCCTCCAAAAACTTGATGACGTCAGCTCAAAATTTGTGGAATAAATCATATCTAAAATGTACAAAATATGATGAGTCTGTACTTGTGATCTATCACTCCATTCATATTTTTTGGATTTGCATATACAGGGTGACTCAAAAAAATTAATGAATGCGTAAATATATTTTATTGATTTAATCAGGAACTACAAAACCGAATGCTCTGAAATCTTGCAGATGTTTTAAGGTCATAAAGAGCATAATAAATGTTTAGTCAAAATATATTTGCTTATCCCCTCCAAAAACTTGATGACGTCAGCTCGAAAGTTTGCCGAATAAATCATATCTAAAATGTACAAAATATGATGAGCCTGTACTTGTCATTTATCACTCCATTCATATTTTTTGGATTTGCATATACAGAGTGACTCAAAAAAATTAATGAATGCGTAAATATATTTTATTGATTTAATCAGGAACTACAAAACGGAATGCTCTGACATCTTGCAGATGTTTTAAGGTTATAAAGAGCATAATAAATGTTTAGTCAAAATATATTTGCTTATCCCCTCCAAAAACTTGATGACGTCAACTCAAAAGTTTGCCGAATAAATCGTATCTAAAATGTACAAAATATGATGAGTCTGTACTTGTGATCTATCACTCCATTCATATTTTTTGGATCTGAATGTACAGGGTGACTCAAAAAAATTAATGAATGCGTAAATTTATTTTATTGATTTACTCAGGAACTACAAAACCGAATTCTTTGAAATCCACTGCGAAAAAAAAACATAATAGGCATACAGTCGTCACGTTTTCGACAGCGAGGGAAGTACTGTCTAAACTCTTTAGACCAATTTTTTTTCCTTATTTTTATAATTTTTCGATTTTGCAATCTTCCTATTTTATAATTTTTTGTTTTTGCTGTTTTTCAATGTTCTGATTTTGTCACTTTTTATTTTTTCAATTTTTCAATTTTAGATTTTTTAATTTTTCGTTTTCTCAATTATAGATTTTCAGTTTCGCAATTTTTCAATTCTTCATTTTTTCATTTCTTCAAATTTTCGAATTGCAATTTTTGGTTGCAGTTTTTTATTTGCTTTATTTTAACAAATTTTAGATTTTTTAGTGGTCCGATTTTATATATTTTTTTCCAATTTCCGTTTTTTCAATTATTCGTTTCCTCAATTTTCCAACTTTTCATTTTTTTTTGTTTCTTCAATTTTAGGGCATGCAACTCTCCGAGTTTTCATTTTTCAATTTTTCAGATTTTCGATTTTCCAATTTTTAATGTTACAATTTTTCAAATTTTTCATGCAGTTCAAAGCTCAGATTTTTCAATTTTTCGATTTGCAGTTTTCCGGTTTTCAATTTTGCGTTTTTTATTTTTCAACTTTTAGGATTTTTAATTTTTGGTTTTTTTAAGTTTCATGATTTTTCGAATTTTTCCTCTCTTCAATTTTTGAATTTTTCTAGTTTCCACCATAAATACATATGCAATAATAATGATTTTCAAAATTATTCCTTTTTTCAATTATAAGATTTTAAAATTTTTTCATTTATTCGATTTTTAATTTTTTTCCGATTCTTCAATTTTTCAATTCTTCGATTTGCAATTTTTCGTTTCAGATTTTTAATTTTCCTTATTTTTATGATTATTCGATTTTTTAGTCTTCAGAAATGGTCATAATTTTTGGTTTTCGCGACTTCAGTTTTTTTAATTCTACGATTTGCAATTTTTATTGGTTTTAGTTTCTTCAATTTTTGATTTGCAATCTTTATATCTTTCATTTTAAATATGTATTTTTTTTATTTTTCACTTTTTCAATTTTACGATTTTAGATTTTTTCCGTTTGTCGATTATTGAATTTCGAAACTTTTTCATTTATACGATTTTTCGACTTTTTTTTTTAATTTTTTAATTTCAATTTTCCAATGTCTCGATCTTTAAATTTTCAATTATTCGATCTTTCACTGTTACAATTTTCACGATTCTATAATTTTTCAATTTTACAATTTTTGGGTTTTTCAATTTTTCGATTTTCAATTTTTTCCGATTTTTAATTTTTGGATTTTCGATTTTTCGATATTTCAACTTTTCGAATCAAAATAATGGCAAAAATACAAAATTCTAAAACTGACAATCGAAAATGGAAAAACGAAAAAGTATAAAATGAAAACTTTGAAAATTCTAAAAACTGGAAATCAAGAACTTGAAAAATTAAAAATTGCATAATTAAAAAATCGAAAAAGGCAAAATCGAAAAATCGAAATATGTATTTTAAAATCGAAATACTGAAAATGAAAGAAATCGGAAAATCGAAAAACTGGAAATCCAAAAATTCAAAAATTTAAAAACTGAAAATAGGAAAAATTGAATAAATGAAAAATTACAAAACTAACAGAAACATTAAGAAAATAAAGGAAATGAAAAAACGAAAAACCGTGGTATGAAATCGAGAAAATGTAAGTAAAAAATCGGTACAATGAATAATAAAAATCAAGAACTTGAAAAATTGAGGCAACGAAAAACTGAAAAACTGCAAAATCTTAAAATGAAAAATTGTTTTATAGAAAAATTGCGAATAGAAAAATGGAAAAAATTGATAGTCAAGGGATTGAAAAAATTTAGGCTAGAATAAAAAACGAAAAATTATTATATAAAAAATGACAAAAAGAAGGAAAAAGCAAAAACAAAAAATTGCCATAAAAAAACTAAAATCGTGCTAAATCGATTACGATCTGATTTGAAAAATTAGTATTTAACGTTCATTTGTTTTTGTGTACGACATTCAAATTTTTTTTAAATATCACCCTATATATTTTTTATAAATTAATGTAGATTTTTCTGAATTCATTGATGTATCATACTGTAATATTTTCAAACATTAAAAAATTGCTAGTAGGCTATTTCGACAGAACTTCCCTCGCCTCTGAAGCACAGTACACAGTACAATAAATCCAGATTTTCCGGAAAATTATAAGATTTCACTTTGCCAATTTTATTTTTTTATGAAAACCCTTATAAATTAAAATAAAGATATGCGTGTAATGTTCGTTTCAAGTGAGTTTTTCCATTACAAAATTACAAAGTCATAATATTTTGCAGATTTCAGGGAGGATTTATTCGGCAAAATTTTGAAATGTCGTCATCAATTTTTTGAGAAGGGATAAACCTAATAAATTTTGATTAACAATCTACCACGTGTAGAATAACCTTAAAATGTTTGCAAAATTTTAGATTATTCGGTTTTGCAATTTTAAAGTTAAATCACAAAATGTTATTATATAATTTTGATTTTTTTTTTTCAAAAACATTTAATAGCAATTAATTAGAATCCTTAACAATTTTCAGGAATCGGTTATGCCATCTGCTTAATCGACATTTACATGGGAATGTACTACAACACCATCATAGGTTGGGCTCTCTACTACTTAATAGCATCATTCCAATCCGAACTACCTTGGACAAGCTGCCACAATGCTTGGAACACCAGAGACTGCCATCCTGTTACTGAAATACGACCGAACAGTACCTCCTCAAGTCCTGCCAGAGAATTTTTTGAGTGAGTGTTAAATTCAGCAACGTCAACTCAGCGAATCAAGACTCATATTGTATTAACATTACTTAAATGAGTTACCTAATTTCAGACGAGAAGTGCTAGAACAATACAAAGCTGACGGCCTCAACAGAATGGGTCCTATCAAACCCGCTCTGGCCTTGTGCGTCTTTGCGGTTTTCGTTCTTGTTTATTTCTCGCTGTGGAAGGGCGTCCGTAGCACGGGAAAGGTGAGTAATTGCCACGTCTATAAACTAATTACGCTTTGAACTCCTATTGTTGATTCAGTAAAACGATATTTGTTCGTATTGTATTTCCCGGCGCCTCCGCCAAGCCGACTTACGCTTAGGCAACCAGTGATACACTTCTGATTGCACGTTTCCAATTCCTCAGAACTCGCTTAAAAAGAAAGAAACGTTTTTCAATAACGTCCACAGGTGGTCTATTAAATGGAGATTTAATCTTCCGAAGCATTATAAAAGTGAAATATTTGCGCTGATATTAATATCATGTCGTAGACGGCGAACGCATGTCGTTATTATTCCACAACATTTTATATCATGTCAAGTATTTAAATAAAAAAATGTTGTGAAATTAGGTAATAAATCTTCTTTGTGTTTTGGGATTGACTGTTTTCGGTGCTGGGATCAGAATATTCAATCGACATTTTCGGTGATAAATTATAAACAATTTTTTAGATTAAATAAAAAGTTAATTTCTTTCGATATCACAAGTCTGTTTGCAATTATTCCACCAAATAAAGTCATAAACATCATTCAAGAAACTCCTATTGCCAAGAACGCTAATCGGGTTAGTGTCGATGAATTTGTAAGCTTATTAGAATTTTGTATATTCAGAATAACTTTCAGTTCAATGGCGAACTTTGTCAGCAAAAATATAATATTCATATAGTCTGGTTATCGAAAATTAACTAAGCCACTTTTAGCTGAAATATTTAAAAAACAAAATTTCTCAGCATAATTTATTTAAACAACGCATTTATTGCTTTAGGTATGTTGACAATATTTTAATTTTAATGATAATAACCGGTAGAAAAAAATGAAATTTCGATATTGCAGCTGTTATCAAAACTAATTAGAAAATGATTTTTTAGAAGAAGTGTTTGGTGTATCTGAAAATAATTATGTAAATTGTTACTTATTTTTTAAATTTATCAATTAATTTTCAAAAATTTTATTATAAAATCATTTTTATTTAGTTATAGGACGAATAAATTTAATAATGGCAAATGTGAGTAGCATGGAAATTCGAATCCTGGAGACGATTTATTAAAATTGCTTTAACAGTGTTTATTTACATTGTCGTTTGTGCATTTTTTTTAGTTAGCACCAATTTTCGCTTTTTTGATTTTTCAATTACATTTTGCAGTTTTTCCATTTTTTGGTTTTTCGATTTTTCAATTTTGCGGTATTTAAATTTTAGAATTTTGCATTCATTTAATTCTTCAGTTTTTCGATTTTTATTTTACCAAGATTCTGTTTTTCAACTTTCAATTAAATCGATCTTTCAATCATTTTTCTATTTTCTAATTTTGCAATTTCTCGGTTATCCAAATTCTCAACTGTTAGACATTTAGTATTTCAGTTTTTAAATTTTACATGGTTTAATTTTTCAACCTTTTATTTTTTAATTTTGGATTTTTTGACTTTTCAATCATTTATTTTTCAATTTTTTTATTTTCCACTTTTTGGATTTTTTAGTTTGGTTTTTCAATATTTCGAATTTACAATTTTTAATTTGTCACTTGTCCGATTTTTCAGTTTCCCTAATTTTTCAATGTTTCAGTTATCTAATTTCTCTGTTTCAAAATGCTTCAATTTTTTAATGTTTTGATTTTACAATTTTTCGAGTTTTTAAATGTAATTTAAGAGAAATTCTACAATTTCTCAATTATCCGACTTTCCTAATTTTAGTTTTTCAATTTATCGATTTCTTGTTGTCTGAATTTTTGATTTTGCTGTTTTTCTATTTTTTGATTTTTTTAATTTTTCAGTTTTTCACTTTTTCGATTTTACAGTTCTGCAATTTTTGAATTAACCAAATTTTCAACTTTAAATATTAGACTTCTAATTTTTCAGTTATTCAATTTTGCAATTTTTAAATTTTTCAGTGTTTCGAGTTTTTCAGGGTCTCAATTTTCCGCTTTTTCAATTTTTCAATTTTTAATGGTTGTGTTTTGCTATTATACAGTTTCTCTAATTTTTTAATTGTTCAATTTCTCAATTTATCAATTTCTCGATTTTTAATTTTTTAGTTTTTCAATTTTTCAACATTGATTTTGAAGTTTTTCGATTTTACAGTTTTTGATTTATCAATTTTCAGTTTTACGATTTTATATTTTGAATCATTATTTGCCCTTTTTATTCAGAAATTGAAAAATTAAAAACCGGAAACCTGGAACATTAAAAAAATTGGAAAATTTTGAAATTAAAAATGTAATATTGAAAAAAAATCTAAAAAATTGAAAACGTGAAAATTTATCGAAAAACAGAGAAATTGAAAATTGAAAAATCGACACCCTGAAAAATCGAAATGAAAATCTGAAAAATTAGAAACCGAAAAATCAAAAAATCGAAAAATTGAAAAATTAAATTCTGATTCTCTAGATTATTGAAAAATCGAAAAACTGAATCATTTAAAAATTCCAACATTTAAATAAAAATTGAAAATTTGAAAAAAATAGAGAAAATAAAATGAAAAAACAAACAAATTGAAATTCGATAAATCGAAATACTGAAAAATCAGAATGAAAAATGGAAAAATTGAAATAATTAAAGAGTAGAGAAACGAAAAAGGGAGAAACCGAATATTGAAAAATAGAAATAATGAAGAATGAAAATTCTGCAAAATCGAAAGATAGAAATTGAAAATTAAAACATTGAAATGGTAAAGCAAAAAAAAAATTAAGTCAAAAAATACAAAAATTGCAAAATTGAAACACTCAAAAACTGAATCATTTAAAAATTGCAACATTTAAATAAAAATTGAAAATTTGAAAAAATTGAGAAAATAAAATAGAAAAACAAAGAAATTGAAAATCGATAAATCGATACACTGAAGAATCAGAATGAAAAATCGAAAAATTTAAAAAAATAAAGAGTAGAGAAATTGGAGAAACGAGAAACGGAGAAACCGAATATTGAAAAATCGAAAAATTGGAGAATTAAAATTCTGAAAAATCGAGAGACAGAAACTGAAGATTAAAAAATTAAAATGAAAAAGTAAAAAATGAAAAAAAACTAAGTCAAAAAATAGAAAAATAGAAAAATCAAAACACTAAAAATCGAAAAATTGCAAAATGTTTCATTTTTCGAAATTGTAATACAGAAAAATTGAAAATTGAGAAATCGAAACACTGAAAAATCGAATAATTGCAAAATAAAACACTCAAAAACTGAATCTTTTAAAAATTGCAACATTTAAATAAAAATTGAAAACTTGAAAAAGTAGAGAAAATAAAATCGAAAAACAAAGAAATTGAAAATCAAAAAATCACAAAACTGAAAAAATAATCTAAAAATTGTAAACCAAAAATCTAAAAATATTAGATAAATGAAAAATTATCACATTAATTTAGCATTGTAAAATCGAAAAATGATTGTAAAATCGAAACAACAAACTGAGAAATCGAAAAAATTTAGGAAAATAACAAAATGAAAACATTGAAAAAGAAGAAACGAAAAGTTGAAAAATTCAAAAATTGACAAATCAAGGAAAAATTATAATTCGAGGGCCTTAAAAATCGAAAATTTAAAAAATCGAAAAAGAAACAGAAAATTAAAATATCTAGGAATGGAAAATCCAAAAATCGTAATTTTAACCGAAAAATTGAAGAAATTTAAACTGAAAATTCGAAAAATTCAAAAATCAAAATTAAAAATCGAAAAATTGTAAAATTAAAACATTGAAAAACTGAATCTTTTAAAAATTGCAGCATTTAAATAAAAATTGAAATTTTGAAAAAATTACAGAAAATAAAAAATTGTAATACAGAAAAATTGAAAACTGAAAAATCGAAACACTGAAAAATCGGAATGAAAAATCGAAAAATTGAAAAATTAAAATTTGAAACATCGAAAAATTAAAAAACATGGAAAACTGAACAACTAAAAATCTAAAAATTGAAAATATAGAAAAATCGAAAAATTGAGAAACTGAAGCAACAAAGAAACTGAAGTAAGGAAAAGCAGAGAAATTGAATACTAAAAATCCGAAAAACCTAAAAATTGAAAATTTAAAATTCTGATAATCGAAAATATGAATTGAAAAATCAAAAAATTGAAAAACTGAATCACTGAAAAATTAAGTTATATAACAAAAATTAATAATTTGAAAAAATGTGGAAAATAAAAAATCGAAAGACAGAGAAATTGAAAATTAAAAAATTGAAACACTGAAAAATCGGAATGAAAAACTGAAAAATTAAAAACTGAAAAATCAACAGAACGAAAACTTGAGAATTAAAATTCTGAAAATCGAAAATATTGAAAATCGAAAAACTAAAAACTCAACAAATTAAGAAAGGGAAAAATCGAAAAACAGAAATTGAAAATTGAAAATTCGAAAAATTAAAAAATCAAAACACTGAAAAATCGAGAAATTGTAAAATTAAAACAGTGAAAAACTGAATCACTGAAATTTTGAACAAAAAATAGAGACAATTAAAAATTGAAAAACAGAGAAACTGAAAACTGAAAAATGGAAACACTGAAAAATAGGAATGAAAAACCGAAAAATTCAAAAAAATAAAATTTGAAACATCAAAAAATTGAAAAACATTGGAAACTGAACAATTAAAAATCTAAAAATTGAAAATATAGAAAAATCTAAAAACTAAAAAACTGAATCACTAAAAAATGGAATTATTTAGACAATAATTAATAATTTGAAAAAATGTAGAAAATAAAAAATCGAAAGACAGAGAAATTGAAAATTAAAAAATTGAAACACTGAAAAATCGGAATGAAAAAGTGAAAAATCAAAAAAAACAATTATTTAGAATTAAAATTCTGTTAATCGAAAAATATTGAAAAGCGAAAAACCAAAAACTCAAGAAATGTAGAAACGGAAAAATGGGAAAACAGTAATTGATAATTAAAAATTCAAAAGATTAAAAATCAAAACACTGAAAAATCGGAATGAAAAATCGAGGAATTGTAAAATTAAAACTGTTAAAAATTGAGCCATTGAAATTTCGAAAAAAAAAATGAGAAAATAAAAAATTGAAAAACAAATTGAAAACTGAAAAATCGGAACGAAAATCGAAAACTTGAAAAAATAAAATTTGAAACATCAAAAAATTGAAAAATTGAAAAACATGGAAAAGTGAACAATAAAAAATCTAAAAATTATAAAAATATAGAAAAATCGAAAAATTGAGTAACTTAAGAAATAATAAATAAATAAAATAAATAACTGAAGGTCGAAAAACAGAAAAATTGAATACTGAAAAACTAAAAAATATAAAAATCCAAAAATTAAATTTCTGATAATCGAAAATATGCATTGGAAAATCAAAAAATTAAAAAACTGAATCACTAAAAAATTAAATTATTTAAACAAAAATTAATAATTTGAAAAAATGAAGAAAATAAAAAATCGAAAGGCAGAAAAATTGAAAATTAAAATATTGAAATGATAAATCAAACATTGAAAAAAAGAGATAACAAAAAATTGAAAAATTGAAAATCATGAAAAATCGAACAATAATTAATAATAATCTAAAAATTAAAGATAATGAAAAATCGAAAAATTGAAAAATCGAACCGATAAATCAAAACAATGAAAAATTGAAAATCAAAAAATTGAACAATTATAATCATCTAAAAATTGTAAACCAAATATTTAAATATTGTAATAAAATTGAAAATATAAACACTGTAAAATCGAAAAATGTAATAAAAAATGAAGAAATCATAAAATCGGTAAGCTGAAGAATCCTTAAAAATTCAAAAATCGGTGGGAATAAAAAACAATGCTCAGACTTGTATGCCCATACATCAAAATATATAATAATAATTAATAAATAAATAAAATAATGCAACACACCTGTAATAATAATATTGACATCCTGCATACTGCAGATAAGTTCAAATTTAAGGCTCTTAAATGTCTTGAAATAATTTAAAAATTATTTTAAAACCAAAACTATACAATAACTTTCAATTAAAAATTTTAATTTCAAAGAATATTGACCTCGATTATAAAAAAAAATTTATGACAAATGTAAATAATGAAATTTTGTCAACTCGCGGAATCAACCGTCTCGGCTAACCGCCTCATGCACAAAATTTTCACTTCTTGTACAAAACTGTTAATTCGAAAACTGAACATCAGCCAGCCGTGTAAAACAAAATATCAGTTTTCACATAATCAACGATTTCCCAACAAACCTGCCTTATCCTCCACACCGCACATCCTTCCAATAATTCCCACTTGATCGCCCCCATTCTCACCCAAATCCCCCCGCTTAAACACAATTTCAATTTTATCCGTTCGCAGGCGGTATGGATAACAGCCATCGCCCCCTACGTGGTCCTCATCATCCTCCTCGCCCGCGGAGTCTCCCTCCCCGGCGCCGCCGAAGGCATCCGCTACTACCTCACCCCCAAATGGCACAAGCTCAACAACTCCAAGGTGTGGATAGACGCCGCCTCGCAAATCTTCTTCTCTCTGGGCCCGGGCTTCGGCACCCTCTTGGCCCTCTCCAGCTACAACAAGTTCAACAACAACTGCTACCGAGACGCCGTTCTCACCAGCAGCATCAACTGCCTCACCAGCTTCCTCGCCGGGTTCGTCATCTTCTCGGTCCTGGGCTACATGGCCCACGTCCAGCACAAGAGCATCGAGGAGGTGGGGCTGGAGGGGCCCGGGCTGGTGTTCATCGTGTACCCCGAGGCCATAGCCACCATGGCGGGGTCGGTGTTCTGGTCGATCATTTTTTTTCTCATGCTGATCACGCTGGGGCTGGACAGCACCTTCGGGGGGCTGGAGGCCATGATCACGGCGCTGTGCGACGAGTACCCGAAGGTACTGGGGCGGCACAGGGAGGTCTTCGTGGCGGCGCTGCTGTTTGGGATTTACATTTGTGCCTTGCCGACGACAACTTATGTAAGTTTCTGGTTGGGGGTGGCTTGGAGGTGTGATTTTGGCGGTTTCAGGGCGGCGTCTACTTGGTTAATATGCTGAATGTTTATGGGCCGGGGCTGTCGATTTTGTTTGTGGTGTTCGTGGAGGCGGCGGGGGTTTGCTGGTTGTATGGGACGGAGAATTTCGCGAGGGACATTGAGAAGATGATTGGGCACAAACCAGGGATTTTTTGGAGGGTGTGTTGGAAGTACATCAGTCCGATTTTTCTTTTGGTAAGAATTTGTTAATTATTCACTTTAAATTAGGTTAGGTTAACTTTATTTTGAATAAAAATGAACATTCCTTTGAGATTTTAAAGTTTGTGGTCAATAAAATAAACTATACCTTGATTTTAGGTTTATAACTTCATTATACAGAGCATTCCAACGGTCTGGTTGGAATCATTTAGGGTTATAATTTAAAATTATTTTTAAACATATAGGAAGTATAGGTGGAATATTACGTTATACGTACCATAGTTGCATTTCATTACACGCAACACACTGTATATTTTTATAAACTTATGGGGATTTAACTTAATTCACGAAGGTTGTGAATTGTCAAATTTTGCACTGGTTTCTGATAAATACTATTAAGTAGTGATTGAAGTAAATTTTTGTGTTGGCAATTCTGAATTTTTGGCAGGGATGCTGGCATGTCAGTCACAGTTATGACAAGATGGCAGCTACTGAATTGCCCAAAATTTCAAACTGACATTGATCTTGCCAACCTGACAAAAAATTACAAATATTAATTTGTAGTTACTCGATATTGCTTTTGAGGATATTTTTATTGTATCCGTCATTTGCCTGCTTTTAGAACCCAGAAGTCAAATTAAATTTTGCTGTTCGTCAAAGATAAACCGTAACTGTCATTACATTGTTGCCACTACAATTTTTTTTATTTTTTATCAGTAAGCCAGCATGACATTTTGACAGTTCACAACCTTAATGAACACAAATTTTGTCAAATAAAGGAAATCGATGTAGGTATAAGCGAACTGATACCTAACTTCAATGGAAAATAACAGTACAGCCACCACAGTTTTTTAAAAAATTAATTCCCTGCCTAACTATAGAAGTTTTTTTATATCACATGGTATAACTCAAAAGTGTTTTCGTTTATTTATACAGAGAAATTCTATTTACCATTTACCGTGTCAGTGTCAGTTTCTGTCTTTTTCAAATTTTACCCTAATTTGGAATAATAATAATTTTTATAAAAACGTTGTGTTTGCTATCGGTTTTTTTCCTTTTTTCATAAAGAATCTAAATTTGTAAAAATATGTATATAAAGTATGTAGGTGTTCTGTTTGAAAAATACAACTTTGGTGCATACATTTTAAATGAACTTGTATACCGCGTGAGTCACTAAGCGCGCGGTCCTCTAAATCTCATTAATTATTATTAATACAGAGAGTCTACTAAGGTTTGTGATTTTTTTGTCAGGTTGGCAAACACATTTTATGACGGCATCCTAGATGTAAAATTTAAATTTTGACCGCCAATTCTGTAACTGCCATCCTCTCCTGGGTTTTTAGGCGCGCTCATGTCAAAATTGATAACCGTGAACTAACATGCTAACACTGCTGCCAATAATTCAGAAATGCCAACTCAAAAATTTGCTTCAATCATTAGATACAAAAAAGTTAAAGAGTAAAGTTTTACTGTTCTTTGAGTAATATACTTTAAAATTATTTTCGATTATACAAAGTGTTTTGATTTTGAGGCATAACTTTAAAAATTAAAAATTTAAAAGGTGCAAAATAAAAAAAATAAAATCAAAAAACTGACACAATCGAAAAACTGTAAAATCGAAACATTTAAAAATTGAAAAATTGGATAAATGTGAAATTGTAATATTGAAAAATCGAAAAATTGTAAAACTGACACATAGAAAACTCAAGAAATACAGAAACGGAAAGAAGAAAAAATAGAAATTGAAAATTGAAAAGTCGGAAAACAGCGAATTTGAAAATTGATGAATCGGAACGTGGAAAAATTGAAAATTGAAAAATCAGAACACTAATAAATCGAAAAATTGACAAAAAAAATTGAAAGATAAAAAATTGAAAATTTAAAAATTGAAAATATTGAAAACTCGAACAACTGAATATTGAAAAATCGAAATGAAAAACTGAAAAATAAAAAATTGGAAAATCAAAAAAACCAAAAACTGAAAAAAATAAAAGATTGAAAATTAAAATTCTGATGATCGAAAAGACTAAAAAACCTAAATATTGAGAATTCAAGAAATAAAGAAACCGAAAAATCGAAATACAGAAATTGAAAATTGATAAATCGAAAAACAGCGAATTTGAAAATTGGAGAATCGGAACATAGAAAACTTGAAAATTGAAAAATCGGAACACTGAAAAATCGAAAAATTGACAAAAAAATTGAAAGATTAAGAAATTGAACAATTGAAAATTTAAAAATTGAAAATATTGAAAACTCGAAGAATTGAAAATTTTAAACAATAGAGAAACTTAAGAAACGAAAACCAGAACAACTGAATATTGAAAAATCAAAATGAAAAACTGAAAAATAAAAAATTGAAAAATCAAAAAAACCAAAAACCGAAAAATATGAAAAATTGAAAATTAAAATTCTGATAATCGAAAAGACTAAAGAAAAGACTAAAAAACCGAAACATTGAAAACTCAAGAAATAAAGAAACGGAAAAAAGGAAAAACAGAAATTGAAAATTGAAAAGTCGGAAAACAGCGAATTTGACAATTGAAGAATCGGAACGTAGAAAAATTGAAAATTGAAAAATCGAAAAATTGACAAAAAAAATTGAAAGATTAAAAAATTGAGCAATTGAAAATTTAAAAATTGATAATATTGAAAACTCGAAGAATGGAAAATTTTAAACAATAGAAAAACTCAAGACACGAAAACCAGAACAACTGAGTATTGAAAAATCGAAATGAAAAACTGAAAAATAAAAAATTGAAAAGTCAAAAAAACCAAAAACTGAAAAATATGAAAAATTGAAAATTAAAATTCTGATAATCGAAAAGACTAAAGAAAAGACTAAAAAACCGAAACATTGAAAACTCAAGAAATAAAGAAACGGAAAAATCGAAAAAGAGAAATTGAAAATTGAAAAATCGGAAAACAGCGAATTTGAAAATTGGAGAATCGGAACGTAGAAAACTTGAAAATTAAAAAATCGGAACACTGAAAAATCGAAAAATTGACAAAAAAAATTGAACAATTGAAAATTTAAAAATTGAAAATATTGAAAACACGAAGAATTGAAAATTTTAAACAATGGAGAAACTTAAGAAACGAAAACCAGAACAAATGAATATTGAAAAATCGAAACACTGAAAAATAAAAAATTGAAAAATCAAAGAAAGGAAAAACTGAAATAAATGAAAAACTGAAAATTAAAATCCTGATGATCGTAAAGACTAAAAAACCGAAATATTGAAAACTCAAGAAATAAAGAAAGGGATAAATCGATAAACAGAAATTGAAAGAAAATTGAAAAACTCAAAAATCGAAACATTAAAAAATCGAAATGAAAAATCAAAAAATTGTAAAACTAAATTACTGAAAAATTGAATCGTTAAATTATTGCAACATTTAAATAAAAATTGAAATTTTGAAAAAATTGAGAAATTAAAAAAATGAAAAACAGAGAAATTGAAATTGAAAAATCGGAAAACAGCGAATTTGAAAATTGAAAAATCGGAACGTAGAGAAATTGAAAATTGAAGAATCGAATCACTGAAAAATCGGAGTGAAAAATCCAAAAATTGAAAAAATAAAATTTGAAAGATGAACACTTAAAAAAATACGAAAAATTGAACAATTAAAGATTTAACAATTGAAAATATTCAAAACTCGAAGAATTGAAAATATTCAAAACTCGAAGAATTGAGAATAGAGAAACTGAAATTGAAAAATCGAAAAATCCAAAAATTGAATAATTGAAATTTTGATAATAGAAAATATTCAAAGATCGAAAATTTGAAGAAATGAAACACTGAAAAATTTAGTCATTTAATTTAAAAATAAAATTTTGAAAAAATAGAGAAAATAAAAATCGGAAAACAGAAAAATTGAAAATTAAAAAATTGGAAACAAAAATCCAAAATTCAAAAAAAAACTTGAAAAGTCAAAACATTTAAAAAATATGAAAAATTTAACAATTGAAAATCTAAAAATTGAAACTACTGAAAAATCGAAATGAAAAACCGAAACGAAAAATCAAAACAATGAAGAATTGATAAAACAAAGTGTTTTGACTTTGAGGCATAGCACATAACTTCAAAAATTGAAAAATTTAGTAGGACAAAAATAAAAAAAATAAAATTCAAGAAATTGCACAATCGAAAAACTGTAAAATCAAAACGTTAGAAAATCGAAACATTTAAAAATTATAAAACTGACACATAGAAAACGAGAGAAACTGAAATAAACGAAAAATTGAAAATTAAAATTCTGATAATCAAAAAGACTAAAAAACCGAAACGTTGAAAACTCAAGATATAAAAAAAAGAACGATCGAAAAACAGAAATTGAGAACAGAAAAACTGAAAAACTGAAAAATTAAAACATTAAAAATCGAAATGAAAAATCAAAAAATTGCAAAACTGAAACACTGAAAAGTGGAATCGTTTAAATATTGCAACATTTAAATAAAAATTGAAAATTTAGAAAAATAGAGAAACTAAAAAATTGAAAAACAGAGAAATTGAAAATTGAAAAATCGAAACACTGAAAAATTGGAATAAAAATCAAAAAGTTGAAAAAATGAAATTTGGAAGATTGAATAATGGAAAAATATGAAAAATTGAACAATTAAAAATTTAAAAATTGAAAATATTGAAAAAAATGAAATTTGAAAGATTAAAAAATTGAATAATTGAAAAATATAAAATATTGAACAATTAAAAATTTAAAAATTGAAAATATTTTGGAAACTCCAAAAAAGGAAAGCCAGAGAAACTGAATATCGAAAAATCCAAAAATTGAATAATTGAAACACTGAAAAATGTAATTATTTAAATAAAAAATCGAAAGGCAGAAAAATTGAAGTGAAAAATCTAAAATTGAAAAGTCAAAAAATCGAAAAATTGAAAAACAAGGAAAATTGAACAATTAAAAATCTAAAAACTGAAAATATTGAAAAATCAAAACACGAAAAAATCGAAACAAAAAAGCAAAACAATGCAGAATTAATAAATAAAAAATCACAAAATTAAAAAAATAATGTCAAAATTGACAACTCTGAGCTAACATGCTAACATTGCTGCCAATAATTCAGAAATGCCAACTCAAAAATTTGCCTCAATCTTTGAGTAGCATTCTTTAAAATTATTTTCGACTATACAAAGTGTTTTGATTTTAAGCCATAGCACATAACTTGTTTTTTTTTAATAGAACATCCTACATATTATAATTTTATATATTCTCATTAGCCTCTTCCTCTATTTTATTACTCTATTTGTTGTTCTCTTTCTTTCAATATGTCGGTGCATCTCTTAATAAAGTAAAAAATCCCAATAATTTAAATATAGAAAATATTTAACAAAAAAGAAAGAAAACAAGAAACAGATGAGAATTCGAGAAGTGCGCGCTTGGTGACTCACCCTGTACACATTTGAATATATATGTAAATTGTAGCCTGAAATGAACGAAAGAAAAGACAACATATGTTATTTTGTTTCAGTAATTTATTTCTATATACAAAAAAATAAATAAAAGGGTAATTTTTATATGAAACACCTGGTATATTTGCATCTAAAATGTCTAAAAAAAATATTACCATTATTGTTCTTTTTTGTTGCAGTCGATTTTCATTTTTTCCCTTCTTAGTCACGAGCAGATGTTGGGCACAGAATATGAGTACCCTGATTGGTGCTTTAAGGTGGGTTATGTACTTACCGCCTCATCGATTATTTGCATCCCGCTGTATATTATATACAAGTTCGCCATCACACCAGGGAGTCTAGTACAGGTTAGTATCCTTGATTATACATACGAATAAATGCAGAAATTGTTGCGCTTCTGAGGCAATGGAAGTTCACTATAATTTTTTTTTTATCGTCCTCTTTGCTTACCTGACTTGTTTTGATTAAAGGATAAACTTATGTGTATTAAACACAGCCTTCCACTAGCTGAAATTTTTTTAATCATGCATGCAACTGTTAAGGAGAAACCAAAAACACGACCTTTTTTATTACATTATTTAATAAATAATAATAAATAAAACTAAACATAGACTAATAATTACAAAATAATGAAATGACAACGCCAGCAGAAATTTAATTTTGTGTGTGCACATGTCCATCAATAATAATAACTGCAATTAATTAATACAAAAAATATAATTGTAAAACACCAACATTTTGGTTTAAACCAGCCTTTCTCTCATTTTATTTCCACAATTTCCAATTTTCATTTCCCCGCACGATCAGCGCCTACCTCCAATCGATAATCTAGCAGGAATTCAGTTTCCTGTCTCCTATCAGAGTGCCTGTTAACATCTCCCGGAAATGTTCCAGAGATGGAAAATGATATGGAAAGCCGAGCACTCCTCCGACAACAGCGCCCTCACCTACTGCGGCGGCACCGAGGTGTGACCACAAAGCATCGTCAGGTCATACACAATCGAATGGTTAGTTTAAGTTAGTTGTAGAATCTCGTTAATTTTCTTCTTCTTCGGGCAAAATACCAGCCATATCTTGCCCGGAAACACGGATTACAAGGGTTGATTTGCCGGTTTTGTTGTTTTAGGTGTACTTAGGAGGTGCGGCAACAGTGTAACAGCAGCCATTGTTACACTCTTGCGTTTGTATATCGAGATGTTTCCTATATTCTAGTCTAGAGTATTAAAAGCGGGTGCTATATGTTGTGTAATAATAAAGTTATTATCAAATAAGAGGATAGTGAGATCGTGTCCTAACAATAATCAAATGATAGGTTAGAGATAGATGTCGCTTCTAGCATGCCGCGACTAGGGTTCCTGCATGTTAGATTAAATTATGTGGTCACGTGTCAAGGCTCCATCACCTGTTGAGTCGGTAATATAATGAATATATTCCTACATGTACATACGAACTTGAAATTTCATGTACACAAATGCGACAGTGGTGGATCTCGATACGTGTATAAACAACGTGCAGGAACCCTAGAGCTATGTTCTGTGTATTTAGCAGTGGTTTAGCTGTCCATTTTCGTGTGAAGGTACTAGATAACCCCGAGGTTAGATTTTTGTAGAACTGAATACGTACGCTGTACAAACACTTAAACAAACAACAAGATAAAACATGACAATAAAAGATGACGGTCGACCGGATTGAGTTGCAGATTTTCGGTACTAAGCAAAAATCGGGCCTATTTTTGTGATACTAACAGCATTGTTGGGTGAAATAGCAGCCATATTTCGCCTGATGGTGGTTTGATTGAATTCGTTTGTGTGCCAATTTTGTTTACTTATTTTTTATTATCTCTTGATTTAGTCCTAGGATTTAACGGTAGCACTTTAGGAATTGAATTGAATATGTTGAGGTTTATCCAAAGGAGCATATTAAACAAAGTATTTGACTAAAATATAATAAATAAACAGAGCTGTCGTTGTGTTGTTGTTACGAGGATAAATTTATATAAATTAATTAATGGTTTGTTTGTGTTGATATATGTACAAATTCTTGTACGGTTGCTGACGTCTTGCAGCCATAAGGTGACAGCAACTATTTTTGTTATTGGAGACGATTCGTCTAAAAATAATATTGTTCGATTTATAGTTTTTATGGTTTAGTGTAAGTGACCTTTTACTGTGTATTAATAAATTTATTTATTTTTTGTAGAAAAGTGTGTTTACTTATTGATTTCTTAGTTAAAAGAATCAGAGTTGACTATGCTTTTAAAGCTTCCATTGGTAATACTGTTCCGTGAAGGTCAGTGATGACAGCAACGTATTTTTAAGTTAAAATCAATTGTGCGTTGATATATTATTTATACAAGTGATCATCCTATCGCTGAAATTTTGTAAACCGAAACAATATAATCTGAGCAAATATTTGACATATTTGTTAGTAGTACAAAATAAATATAAGTTTTGCAAATTTTAAACACTTCCATGACTTTTCCGCTGGAAAAGTCTTATTATTTTATGTTTACGATTTTATTAGACAGATAATCCGAAACTGCGACTGAAACTGGAACTGTTTGATTCTGCTTCAGAGGCCAAGAAAGTTCAATACATATAAATAACTTTAGATGAATTTTTTACAAGTATTTAAAACATCTGCTGACTATTAATGATTGAAGCAAATTTTTGGGTTAGCAGTTCTGAATTATTGGCAGCAATGTTAGCTGTCAATTTTTACTTCAAGTTACAATCTGACATCATAAAATTTAAATATGTTGCCAACATGACAAAAAATTCATAAATATTCAAGTCACTCCATATTTTATAATTTGAAAAATCAGATTTAATGTGTATTTATTCAAGATATATAAACGTTGTATCGTGTGTTTTAGCTTCCTACAGCCAAACTTAGTACATTTTATTTGAAAAGTAAACTGTAAAAAAACATAAAATGTGGCGCCATCTGTGTAAAAGATGGGAATATTATTAGGAAAAACTGTAATATCGACCAACTAATTACTCTAAAACTGACAAATTTTAACAGTTATATTAACCTAATAATTTTTCTCATTTACTAATGTATTAAGGCACGATATTGACGAAGTTTTCATTAACAAATATTTCAAGATTTATAGCAATATCCTGCAGATGTCGTTACTAGTCAAATTATGAGCTGCCACCTGCGATGTTGCCTCTTAATTTCAATTTTTTGTTGTCAGTCTCTCGACCCATTTTATACTTATTAATTACACCATATGATTGAAAAAAAAATGCGCTAGTAAACCATGAAATTTATTTTTAAAATAATGAGCGTTTTTTGTTCGGTTTGACAGCTGTGAAATAACTGCGAACATAAATTTCATGGCCGATACGAGCTTAGCTAATTTCACTTTTTTACAGCTTTTCTAGTGATAGCTTTTCTCTCTTACCGACGCTATTTTGAAGTTCTTGTGTGAAATCCTGGTCAAAAATTTTAGGTTGGTCCACCTGTTTAAAATTTTTGGAATTTTGTCGAATGCTTCCAAAAATGTCACAAATTTTATATTTATCCATTTCGGGCCCATTAAGGAATTTAATTCGTCGAAATTATAAGGAATTCACGTTCGGTAGATGTAACTAGATTTGGTAACTTTTTTTTTTAAGCTGTGTAACTGCGGACATAATTGTTCTAGTGTATAATGTATTACTGGAATGTCAGAAAGTAGCTATCAAAAATGTGACATGTAAGTAAGTAAAGGTCAAATATCGAAAATGTGATGGTTTTGTGGTAATCTGGTGAATCTATTTTTGAACCAAGGAGAAAATCGCATCCCTCTAAAAGCCCAAAGAGCAACCCGCATGTAAAATTTTGAATCTTTTCCCTTCACTAGTTTTTTTAGGAGGACAAGCTTTGATGTCATTATCATGGATCCACAATTTCACCATGGATCCGTTCTGGTATATCCGTGTCTCATTCAAGAAAATGAAAAGTAAATCTTCACCACAATCACGCAATTGGAGATAGGTACCGCCTTAGAAATTTGATTCTGGCAGCTATAACGTGTTTAAAATGTGAAAAACTTCGCCTTCGGCAACCTAAATTTATACGTGTATTATGTACAATTATTTTCAAAGCCAAGTGTTTTACCTCTTACAAAACAATAACGATTATATAAAACTTAAAAACCAATTGTAGAACGGAACCAACAAAGCATGTAGGTATATAAATCTGCGCAGTCGTCTTTCTGATTCTGATTATAATATTAACGGCACAAGCGCCGCTGTATCTGTATTATTTTAAAATTCGAAAAACACTCGACAACACTAGCGAACTTTACGGAGAATATTTCTGCCACCAGTTTAACTGTTTCCGTTTTACCCAATATTTCTTGTTTCTTTTCCTTTAAAATGAGCTTTCTCGTGATTACTTTTATGGAAACTGTTTCCATGCTGTATTTAAGGATTTTCTAGAAACGAAGCGTGTTGAAATTAGAAAAACTTCGTTTTTTTCCACACAATTCAGATTTGACATTTGAATTAGAAAATTAGACAGTTGATGCCAATCTTAAATTTCTAGTGATCTTAAGATTGCAACTTAACCACAGAAAAGTTTCTGTCAGTTACTTCTACCGAACGTGAATGCTTATTATATAATAATTATAATAGATATTATGAATAAATAGAACTGAGTGTTTAGCGCAGATGCTCGTCGAGATATATACATAACGAAAAAATGTAGTTTACAAGTACTTTTTTTAAAGTGTACAAGATGTTAAAGACAACTTTCTACAACCACAGATAATTGGGAAAAAGTAGAATTCTTTAAGGTTATGTTGAAAGTATAAAAATTTCAATAAAAGCTTACTGTTTTCAACTATCAAGATAGAAAAAAATTGTTCGCAGTGTACCTTCTAGCTCTTGGGAGCGAATTTTTCATAGCGACAGGTTCTACACATCTTGGAAAACCTAGAAATATTTGAAAATGGGAGCAGAGTCCTTAACTCAGATGCTGGTGGAGACATAAATCGTTGTTCAAGAGCAACGTTTTCAAAATGTACAAAATTTTAAAGCCAACTTTTTACAACCATAAATATTAGAAAGAAGTAGAATCCTCTAAACGTATGGTAAAATTCTTTAACAAATTCAGTGGAATTTAATGTCTTCAAGCATGAATGAAAGTTGAAAACATTTTTCGCAATGCATCCATTAAGTGTACCAGATTAGCCGTTTAGAGCGAATTTTTCACTGTAAGAGGTTTCACACGTCTTGGAAAATCTAGAAATATTTAAAAATGGGAACAGAGGCCTTAACTCAGATGCTGGTCAAGGCATAAATCGTGAAAATGTTGTTTAAGAGCAATGTTTTCAAAGTGTACAAAATTTTAAAGCCAACTTTCTACAACCACAACTAATAAGAAGAAGTAGAATTCTCTAAACTTCGAAAATGGGGGCAAATGCTTTAACAAATTCAATGGGACTTCAATGTTTTCAAGTATGAATCAAAGCTGAAAAAATTGTTCATTAGGTGTAACAAATTAGATGTATAGAACGAATTTTTCACAGTGACAGGTTTTGCACGTCTTGGAAAATCTAGAAATATTTGAAAATGGGAATAGAGTATTTAACTCAGATGCTGGGCGAGAGATAAATCGTAAAAATGTTGTTTAAAAGCAATGTTTTCTAAGTGTACAAGATTTTAAAGCCAACAGCTTTCTATAACCCCAAATATTAGGAAGAAGTAGAATTCTTTAAACTTATGGCAAAATTATTTAATCTCAATGGAACTGGTCAAAATTTCAGGTTGATCCACCTGTTCAAAATTTATGGGATTTTGTCGAATGTTTATAAAAATGTCAAAAATTTTACAGTGATCTATTTCGACCCCAGAAAGGGATGTAATTCGCCTTACACTTTCTCGTAAAAATAATAGAATTTATATAATTATAATAAATATTATGAATAAATAGGACTGAGGGTTTTACATAGTGAAAAAATGTTGTTTAAAATTCCTTTTTGTAAAGTGTACAAGCTTATAAAGACAGCTTTCTACAACTACAGATAACTGGGAAGAAGTAGAATTCTTTAAGGTTATTAAAGCTTACTGTTTTCGAGTATCAAAATTTAAGAAATTGTTCGCAGTGTATTTTCTAGATGTGACAAATTAGCTCTTCGGAGCGAATTTTTCATAATTCTTGAAAAGTCTTGGAAAATCAAGAAACATTTGAAAATGGGAGCAGAGTCCTTATCTCAGATGCTGGTCGAGACAAAATAAACCGTGAAAATGTTCTTTAAGAGCAACGTTGTCAAAGTATACAAGATTTTAAACCCAACTTTTTACCAACCACGGATATTACGAAGAAGTAGATCTCAAGGGGACCTTACTATTTTCGGAAATTTAAATTGAAGAAGTGTTTCGCTTTGCATTCTCTTGGAGAGATAAATTAGCTGTGAGGAACGAACTTTTTGACACTGGCAGGATCTAATCGTTTTGGAAAATCTATAAATAGTTGAAAATCGGAACTGAGGGCTTAGCACAGATGCTGGTCGAAATATATATCGTGAAAATTTTGTTGGAAAGTACTATTTTCAAAGTGTACAGGATTTTAAACGCTACTTTCTAAAACTGTAGGTATCAGGAAGAAGTAGAATTTTTTAAACTTATGTTGAAATTCTTTCAAAATCTCAGTGGAAGCTTACTGTTTTCAAGTATCAAAATTGAAGAAACTGTTTGCACTGCATTTTCTCGTTGTGACAAATTAGCTCTTTGGAGCCATTTTTTCATAGTAACAGGTTCTACGCGTCTTGGAATATCTAGAAATATTCGAAAATGAGGGCAGAGCTCTTAACTCAGATGCTGGTCGAGGCATAAATCGTGAAAATATTGTTTAAGAGCAACGTTTTCAAAGTGTACAAAATTTTAAAGCCAACATTCTACAACCACAACTATTAGGAGGAAGTAGAATTCTCTAAACATATGGTCAAATTCTTTAACAAATTAGAATTTTGGAACGAATTTTTCATGACAAGTTTTACACTTTTTGGGAAACCTAGAAATATTTGAAAATGGGAACAGAGTTTGTAACACAGATGCTGGTCGAGATATAAATCGTAAAAATGTACAAGATTTTAGAGCCAACAACTTTCTATAACCCCAAATATTAGGAAGAAGCAGAATTCTTTAAACTTATGGTAAAATTCTTTAAAAATCTCAATGGAACTAGTCAAAATTTCAGGTTGGACCACCTGTTTAAAATTTATGGGATTTTGTCGAATGCTTCAAAAAAGTGAAAAATTTTACAGTGATCCATTTCGACCCCAGGAAGGGATTTAATTCGTCTCGCACTTTTTCGTAAAAATAATAGAAATTATAATATTTATAATAATGGACATTATGAATAAATAGAACTTAGTGTTTAGCACAGATGCTGGTTACATAGTGAAAAATGTTGTTTTAAAGTACTTTTTTAAAAGTGTACAAGATTTTAAAGACAAATTTCTATTTACAACTACAGATAATTGGGAAGAAATAGAATTCTTTAAGGTTATGTTGAAACGAATTTTTCACAGTGACAGATTTAGACGTCTTGGAAAATCTAGAAATAATTGAAACTGGGAGCAGAGTCCTTAACTCAGATCCTGGTCGAGATATAAATCGTGAAAATGTTTTCAAAGTGTACAAGATTTTAAAGTCAACTTTCTACAACCACACATCTAAACTTATGGTAAAATTCTTTAACAAATTCAATGGGACTTCAGTGTTTTCAAGTATGAATCAAAGTTGAAAAAAATTATTCATTAGGTGTAACAAATTAGAGTTTTGGAACGAATTTTTTACAGTGACAAGTTCTACACTTCTTCGAAAATCTAGAAATATTTGAAAAAGGGAATAGAGTGTTTAACGCAGATGCTGCTCGAGAGATAAATCGTAAAAATGTCGTTTAAAAGCAACGTTTTCTACAAGATTTTAAAGCCAACAACTTTTTATAACCCCAAATATTAGGAAAAGGTAGAATTCTTTAAACTTATGGGAAAATTATTTGAAAATCTCAATGGAACTGGTCAAAATTTCAGATTGGTCCACTTGTTTAAAATTTATGGGATTTTGTCGAATGTTTCTAAAAATGTCAAAAATTTTACAGTGATCCATTTCGACCCCAGGAAGGGATTTAATTCGTCTTGTACTTTTTCTTAAAAATAATAGAAATTATATAATTATAATAATAGATATTATGAATAAATAGAACTGAGTGTTTAGCGCAGATGCTGGTCGAGACATATACACAGTGAAAAAATGTGGTTTAAAAGTACTTTTTTTAAGTGTACAAGATTTTAAAGACAAGTTTCTATTTACAACTACAGATGATTGGGAAGAAGTAGAATTCTTTAAGGTTATGTTGAAACACTAAAAATTTCAATAAACTGTTTTCAAGTATCAAATTTGAAGAAATTGTTCGCAATGCATTCATTAGGTGTAACAATTTAACTGTTTGGAACGAATTTTTCACACTGACAGGTCCTACACGTCTTGAAAAACTTACACATATTTGAAAATGGGAACAGAGTCCTTAACTCAGACCCTGGTCGACACATAAATCGTGAAAATGTTGTTTAAAAGCAATGTTTTCAAAGTGTACAAGATTTTAAACCCAACTTTTAACCAACCACGAATATTAGGAAGAAGTATATCTCAAGGAGAACTTACTATTTTTAAAAATTTAAATTGAAGAGTGTTTCGTTTTACATTCTCTGGGTGTGATAACTTTGCTGTGAGAAACGAACTTTTCACAGTGGTGAGATCTACACGTCTTAGGAAAGTCTATAAATAGTTGGAAATCGGAGCTGAGTACTTAGTGCAGATGCTGGTCGAAATATATATCGTGAAAATTTTGTTGGAAAGTACTAAGTGTACAAGATTTTAAAGGAACTTTCTACAACTGTAGGTATTAGAAAGAAGTAGAACTTTTTAAACTTATGTTGAAACTTTTTCAAAATCTCATTAGAAGCTTACTGTTTCCAAAAATCAAAATTGAAGAAACTTTTTGCACTGCATTCTCTAGCTGTAACAAATTACCTCTTTAGAGCGTATTTTTCGTAGTGACAGGTTCTAAACGTCTTGGAAAATCTAGAAATATTTGAAAATGGGAATAAAGTCCTTAACTCAGATGCTGCTAAAGCATAAATCGTGAAAATGTTGTTTAAGAGCAACGTGTACAAAATTTTAAAGCCAATTTTCTACAACCACAACAAATGGTAAAAAGTAGAATTCTCTAAACTTATGGTAAAATTCTTTAACAAATTCAGTGGAACTTTAGTGTTTTCAAGTATGAATCAAAGTTGAAAAAATTGTTCATTAGGTGTAACAAATTAGATTTTTGGAACGAATTTTTCAGTGACAAGTTCTACACGTCTTGGAAAATCTAGGAATATTTGAAAATGAGAATGGAGTGTTTAATTCAGATGCTGGTAGAGAGGTAAATCGTAAAAATGTTATTTAAAAGCAACTAAGTGTACAAGATTTTAAAGACAACAACTTTCTGTAACTCCAAATATTAGGATAAAGCAGAATTCTTTAAACTTTATTAACAAAATTTCAGATTGGTCCACCTGTTTAAAATTTATGGGATTTTGTCAAATGTTTCCAAAAATGTCAAAAATTTTACAGTGATCCATTTCGACCCCAGGAAGGGATTTAATTGGTCTTGTACTTTTTCGTAAAAATAATAGAAATTATATAATTATAATAATAGATATTATGAATAAATAGAACTGAGTGTTTAGCGCAGATGCTTGTCGAGACATATACACAGTGAAAAAATGTGGTTTAAAAGTACTTTTTTTAAGTGTACAAGATTTTAAAGACAAGTTGCTATTTACAACTACAGATGATTAGGAAGAAGTAGAATTCTTTAAGGTTGTGTGAAACTCTAAAAATTTCAATAAACTGTTTTCAAGTATCAAATTTGCAAAAATTGTTCGCAATGCATTCATTAGGTGTAACAATTTAGCTGTTGGGAACGAATTTTTCACATTGACAAGTTCTACACGTTTTGAAAAATCTATAAATATTGGAAAATGGAAGTAGAGTGGTTAACTCACATCCTGGTCGAAATATAAATCGTGAAAATGTTGTTTAAGACAACGTTTTCAAAATATGTTAAAGCTCAGGGTCAAAAAATTACCTCCGAATTATCAAAGTTGTAAAAAAGATAGTTATAATACCGTGTATTTTTTAAATTTCTACTCTAGGTAGCCATGACGCGTATGTCAGCAGTGAAATTCAAACGGCTGACATAAGCGACATGGCCAACTAGAGCAGAAATTTTAAAAAATCAAAAATCACCCGATATAAACAGCCTATATTTTCTTGTCTTGCTATTATTTACACAAATATCTTTGACAGATATTACAACATCCACTCATTGGTAAACAATCAATGTAACAATGAAAATATACATTTCACAATTATTTATTTCATTAATTTCATAATTTAGAGATATAACAACTGTAGCCGACTCTAGCCAATGGTGTCACTCTCTGATTACCTCGTTCCATCAAACCATCGTTGCAAGTTCAGGATTGACATTTTTAAAAAATCTGTCAGTGTAAATGGCAGCACGAAAATTATAAACAAAATGTGCCTCCTTAAAGATTACCACTCAAAATTTACGTCAAAGGCACTAGAATCGTCCCAACTCCTACAAAACAACATTTATTCATCAATACCAACAGTCGTTTTCCTGGTATCCTCCTTCATTTTCTTGTACCAACACCTGCATCGAAACACCACACTCCACACCAGATGGAAAACAAGAATCATAAGAGTAAGTACCACCCAATTATCCCACACATTCCCTCTAAATTGTGTTGACAGGATTTGAAATTCCACTGGATTTACTTTAATGCCTCCAGGCTTTGGTACATCTTCATATCGTGCTGCAAGCGCCTGATTTCCGTCGCTGAGGATTACATAGACGTAAGAGTTTGATCGAAAACCGAAAACACCATTAAATTTGAAATTTCCAGTTAAACTTAGCCGACGCAGAAAGGTACTTCAACCGAGTCCTGACTCAGGGTGCTGCTTTGACCATTGTTACGACTCTGTCCGTCATTCCTGTAATTTTAATTTACGTAAATTATATGTCCAAGTACGACATGCCAAACTTTTTAATGTGGTAAGGCTTTATTTTGACTTGAAATTTTCTCACTGTGGTTTATAATAGTTCCAATAAATAAAGTGGTAGTTTTAAGGGTAATGGAAGACCCCTATCTTCGTCACGAAATCGGCATCTCCGGTCACTGTCTGGAACGTCCATTACGAATCGACCCGAAAAAATTGAAGAACTACCCGTACCGCTCCAGAAGGTCGACTAGCTTCGACACCAACCCATGGGTGTCCCAGCGCCCGCCCATCATCTGCAGAAACTGTAAATCGATGATCGAACATAACGTTGTAAATTCCATCGACGAAATGCACTAATAAAGCACTGAAAAATCGAACGATTGACTTATTGGGGCCGAAATAGAAGCCCTATGTTCCACTTAGTCTGTCACTGTTAAACTAAACGGAAGCTGTCAGGAACGTCGTTCCTCTATTTGGGTATGACTTGACGGGGTACACCTGTTATGCTATTTTTGCGTACGAGAGAAAGACGAAATTTCATGAGCATATCATAAAAGTTGGATCGAAATTAGGTTTGGGGTGGATTTTGAAACGAGTTTGTTTTGTTAGGATTTCCTTTGTAATTAAATACTTTCGATTTCGGATAGCTTCACACGGTTCTTATGTCTTTTATTTATTTTTCTTGCTGGGTTTGCTGAGAGTAAGCCAGCTGGGTGGAGGCCCGAAAGCTGTAATAAGGGTGAAAGTATTTTTTATTAATTTTTTTTGTATATGTTTTATTTCGGTTAAAGTCGCTGTACTATTTTCTATAATAAGAAACAAGAGAGTCGTAATTTTTTGTGGGATAATAATGAATCAGCTTTGTGTGTTTATTATTATAAAGGTTAAACTTCTATTCTTTTAAAATGATATATGGGTCGTAAATATTTAGGTCTTTAGTAAATCTTACAACGTAAATAAACACGTTTGACAGTTTCCGATAAAACCTAAATAATTGTTCTTGTATTTTTAAAAACCTCTTGGTGCATTGTGATACCAAACCACAAAAAAATTGGATCAGAGTTGGCTTTAAGCAAGTCCTCTTGCTGTCAACTTGTAATTTCATGTTTTCCTGACGCTTCATAGCCCCTAGAATATGAAAAAATAGATGCCCCATTTCCATTCTTTTGTCAAATTACAAAAGCGTTTGATTTAAGTAAGTAGCTGTGAGAAACAGACTTAAGTACCGTCGGCAAATGTAACGATTTTTTTTCTCATTCTACATTAAATCAATGACTTAATAAAAAATGATAGTATATTTTATACAGAATGATAAATAATAAAACAATAAATGCAACTAAATCTTGCTGCGTCAAAAAAATTATAAAGTTTACAAAAAAATATTTTACCATAATTATAATTATTATTATTGTTTTTATTATTGTAATTCTCATTAATATAGTATGAAATTTATAACCAGAAATCGCTAACAACCCAAAAAATATATAAAAAATAAGTGTCATATTCAGTAGAGCAAATTTTTGCCATAATTTTTTAACATGAACTAGTTTCAGTTAGTTTTTAGTCATCAGTCCGAACTGAGCAGACACCGGAACAACGAAAACTATACCGGAATAAAAAGCACACCTTTCAGCTCAAGAGCTTATTTGTCTAAATTCGTCACGCTTTGTTTAAATGGGTGGCAATCCGGCCAATTTGTCAAAATTCGTGATTTTCCCTCGACTTCTTTGCCGGAACATTATTTCTGGACCATTACCAAAGCTATTTCTGGTTGGTGGGCACTCGGATTCCCTAAGGATGTGGGAGGAGCTTTGGAGAAATCCCGCCTTAGATTTGCTGATCTGATTTCACACTCAATTAGTGAATTAGTGAGTATTTTAAGGAACAGTGTTGTGACAAATTAAACGGTTTGCTGATTCAGGTAACCAAATCGGACATTTTGTTTGTAAAAGACAAATAAACATGTGTGATTTCCGCAGACGGTTGACAATTACGTCGGATTGAAAGAGGGAAAATTGATATTTGGGACAACTTAGACTAACAGTAAGTAAGTGTGATGAAAGTGAGTGTAAATTTGGTTAATAGTGAGCAGGCAGAGGAAAATAATAATTACAATTAAGTACACACAATTCGGATTTATTTATCGGTAATTCGAAAAAGTTGTGTCTTGAGAAAATTGAATATTCTGAATTTTCTTCCAAAATATAGCCATTTTCATTATGAAGAAAATTAAATTACTATTATATATTATTAAGTGATGAATTGTAAAAATTTAAACACACATTAGTAACCTTTACACATTTTGCATTCTTTTAAATTTCCTTCTACAAATTTTATCTTTTCAATTTCGCTTGTTTTGGCTTCAAGTTTTAGTTTTTGTTTGGAAAAGAGTGAACATTTTGATTTTATAGTAAGTAATTCTAATTTTCAAAGTTAAAATTACCGATTTGCTGTTGAGGATTTTTCAAAATATTGACAGTTGCCGACTTTCGAAATTGAGCGAATTCTTCCCTTTTAGACTTTTGTAAATTCTGCAATTAGTAGAATAACATATTACAAATATTGCAAAAATGAAAAATAGTAAAAGCAAAATAATGTGGAATAATTTTAAATTAAATTTAAAAATTTGAACTATTTCCATGACAGTCTTAGGAATATTTGTTTAAATTTAGAAAAAAGTAAACACAAACTGCAAGTCAGAATAATTTAGACCTTTATCAAAATTTTGAATAATAAAATGTAAAAACCCAAAAAATATTGAAATTGTTTTAATTATTATTTTTCTACATGTTTTGGAAAAAAAAAATTGTTTTATCCCAAATATTCTCATTTATTTATAACAACATAATTTATTAACAATAATTAAAATTTACTTTATTTCTGAGGAGCTCTAATCCAATTATTCTTGTATACACAAGTAGAGGTTAAATATACTATAAATACAAATAAATGTTAAAGAAAAATAGAAAAAAGTATATTTATTTTAAGAATAAGGGTTGCCCCTAGTCCCCCTTAAATCAAAAGTTAGTAAATTATTTCAATAATGTTTTAAACAAACTCGATTCCATGGAGACTAATTTTAAATAAGCTTACATAAAATAAATTCTAATTAATTTAATTGAATCATGAAGTTATGTTTTTAGCTTTTTTTTAATTATTATTAACACAAAACGGTATTCATTCCTAAAAGAAAAAAATATAGATAATACCAGTTACAGCGTAAGAAAAAAGTGGCCCATGGGGTAATCAACCGTTCTGTTATAAAAACTCAAGACAGATTTATAAACCACAAGTACAGAAGTATATTATTTTACATAATTAAAATAGCATTTACTCTGCAAAATTTTGAGGTCACGTTGTCGAATTATTTTTATTCTTTATTCTTGTACTTGTTTTAAATGTTGGAGTGTTAATAATTATGAATTTTAATATTACTCGATTTTTTTGTCTTTCCTTTTTATCTTTTTAGAATCAAGAAAGTTCCAAAATGTCATATCTTGAATAATCACTGCAAACTACAAACTTTTTGATCTTAATTATGCCACAAATATTTTGTTTAACGTATAGCAGTCCAAAATTAAAATGATAATTTTGCTTAATCATTAAACATCCAAAAAGGTGCCATTTATGTCAAAGAGTTTGTCAAATTATTTGTTGATATGTCCTGCTTTATTATAAAACTGAATACACTTAAAATTTCTATTACCTTTTTTTTAATTTTTGACATTATTTGCAATTATTTTCTTTTGTTTTGAGGTTATTATTTAACTTGTTTTGATTTCCAACTGACACTTTTTCTTCTCTTTATCTTTCCGAACTTTACTAGCCAAATATTCATGTTTCTTTGACGTTTCAAAGTACTAGAATATGAAAGAATAAGAATCTCCGACACTATTAGACAGCCTGTTATGAACCATTCACCATTTTGATAAAAAAATCCTAATTAAAATTTTAAATTTAAAACAATATATGTATACAGATATATGAATTTACCCTTATTTTTAGGGCTACACATGCAATTTTTTTCAAAAAATCTTTCATTTTTTCGTAAACATGACAAATTGCTGTAATTTGTATCTTAACACACAAAGGACATTAAAAAAGATGGAAAATTAAATTTTATATACGAAAGTAACGTCCAAGCCGTCATACAACGATCGAAAAAAATCTTCTAGCGGTCCATCAAATTTATTTTTAAAATAATGAAGTTGGCAATACCAACCTATTTTTGGTTTAGTTTGCTAGTTACGGTTAAATAACTGTCAAATATGACTTCGATGGCAATATCATTATTTTAAAAATTAATTTCATGGCCCACTAGAGGACATTTTTGTTCGTTTGATAAAATAGGTTTGTTACTCTGCTTGGGTTTTTTTGTTCAATACGGTTGACAGCGACGAGATTTGACGTTTTATTGACAAGCACATGAATTAATTAAGCAGGTAACATTGTTTAATTGAAAAATACAAAGTTTAATTTTTACGTGCTATTACATTCAAGTTCTTTGACATTTAAAAGAATTTGACAACATTTTAACCTCAATCAACTTTCCTCCATTTTATGTTTATGATGTACTGTTCAAAATTTTGACACAGTTGGCTTGAAAATTGTACATATTTTGTGTAAAATTTGAAGATTATGTCACTCTAAGAAAGTTTCATATTTTAGTGATTTATACATAGAGTTTTATAAAAAAAATATTGGGCAGTTGTCATTTACTAATGTTACAACTTATAAAATGTGCTTTATTTAGATAACCTAATTTACTGTCAGTAGTGGCATATCCTCATGTCTGTCGGATATTAATAATATCAAAGGCATCGTTTAACAAAATAGATGTTTGAAAAGGGCTAATATTTGTCAAAATGACAGTAAAGCTTGAATCACATATGATTTGTCATAAATGATAGAATGACAGTGCTCAATATTTTTTGACTAAAACTGTACGAACTTTTTACTTCTCGAGTGTAAGCGAAGGAAGTATTGTAATCGAGTCCATCGACCGACTCTCTACTTTTACAATTACTCCCATTTCCGTCTGTCTGTCTGTCTACCATCTGTCCGGATTTTTATTACGCACATAATCTCCGAAACTACTGGATCGATTGTTTTCAAATTTTATAACTGTATTATGAATACCAAGTAGATGGTAAAACACAAACTAAACTTTGGCTAATCATCCCCACCAATAATGTTATGACGCCACTTCAAAATTATACATAGTAAATGGGTTTTAAATTGTATAAAATAACGTAGTCCTACACATGTAGTTTATGACGCCGTGTTGAGTTTTACCCGAAATGTCCCGATTTTTGGAAAAAAAATCAAAATTATAAAACAACATTTTGCAATTTTGAATCTACAAAACTGAACGCATTGGATTCTTATACATAGATATTTTAAAGTCATGATAAGCATAATCAAATTTGTTTAATTAAATTTTGCTTCTTTCTAATTTTATGAGCAACCAGTAGTACCGCCCACCCACCCCTTCTTCGTTCCACTAACTATTAATATTGTTGTTCTTTACAATTTTCGACCAATTTTTTAGAATCAAGAAGGTTGCAAAATGTCACATCTTGAATAATCACTACAAACTACAAGCCTTGTAATTTTTCATCTGTTGGAATTATGCCACAAATATTTTGTTTAACATGTAGCAGTCCAAAATTAAAATGATAGTTTTGCTTAATCATTAAACATCCAAAAAGCTGCCACTTATGTTAAAAATGTTATGGTTTTTTTTTTTATTTTTGACATTTGCATTATGTTTCTTGTTGTCGTAGTTATTGTTGGACTTGACATTTTTACTTCTCTTTAACTTTCCGGAATTAAGCTATCTAACTACTGGCAAATTTCATGTTTCTTCGACGTTTCATAACTACTAGAGTATGAACGAGTATGTCCCCGTTTCCGTCTGTCTGTTAACGATTTTTATTAGACAAATTATCTCCGAACCTAGTAGATTGCTTGCTGTGAAATTTTGAATGTGCATATTTTAAAGTTATCATGTGGATAATACCAAAAATTTAATGATGCCATTTTGATAAGAAAATCCTGCTTAAAATTTTAAATTTAAAATATTATAAAATATGTACTTATGTAGCTGTACAACATTAATTCACCCTTATTTTTTTATACAATTTAAAACCCATTTACTATATATAATTTTGAAGTGACGTCATCACATTATTGGTGAGGATAATCAGACAAATTTTGGTTAGCGTTTTACCATCCACATGACATTCCTAACATAAATACAAAATTTGACAACAATCGGCCCAGTACTTTCAGAGATTATCTGTCTAATAAGAATCCGGACAGACAGCAGACAGACGGACAGACAGACCGATAGAAAGACGGACAGACAGACGGAAAAGGGATACTATACGTACTATAGGGATCATGAAAGGTCTAGAAAACGTAAAAGTAGAGAGTCGCCTGACGGACTCGATTACAATACAATACAATAAAAAGTGGCCCATAAGGGAATCAAACATTTTCTTATAATAAATATTAGACTATAAAATATTACACAACTTTTTTTCTGAAAATCTGGATGCTTAGGGTAAAAACTCAAAGCAGATTTATAAATCACAAGTACAGGAGTATATTATTTTATACAATTAAAATAACACTTCCTCTACAAAATTTGAATTACTGGTGGGGATGACAAACACTTAAGAGAAATTTTGACGTCTACACGATAATCCTAAAGTATGTAAATACAAAATTGTATAATATAAATATACGAGATTATTAACCTATTAAAATCGACACAAAACACAAACGGACGCAAACGGGAGACCAGTTTTTTCCTATTCTAGAGGTTACGAAACATCCAGAAGACATAAAAGTAGTCGTTCGCCGGATGGCCCCTATTTCAATAATTCCTTAACTCTCGGGAAGTAAAAGTAAAAATATTTCAAGTCGATTTCCCTATTTTATGAAAATCTTTAGCAACCCTCAGCCCACAAGAGAATAACTTAACCTCAAAAAACACTATATTTTTATTCTTTATTCTTACATTTGTTTTAAATGTT